GCGACCGCCGCCCGGCCCGTCGCTCTCGCTGTCGTCGTCGTCGCTGTCCGGCGCCGCCGCCCCCTCCACGCCCTCCTCGGCGAACCCGCCGTCCACCACGCCCTGCGCGCCCTCGTCAGCCTCGCCGGCGGCCGCCGCGGCGTCGGCGGCGCTGCTGGACCCCTCGTCCGCCTTCTTGAGCCGCTTGCGCGGCGCGCCGTCCGGCTTGCCCTTGTCCTTCTTGGACGACGCCTTGCCCTTGCCCAGCACGCGCTTCACCTTCTCGCTTTCGGGGTGCGCGAGCGACGGCAGGTTGTCGTCGCCGTCCGAGTCGGAGTCGTCGCCAAAGATGGCGGCGTGGAGCGACCGCTTCTTTGACTCCTCGGTCTCCTCCTCCTCCGCCGCCGCCTCCGGCTCCGGCTCGGCCGCCGCCGGCGCCGGCTCGTCGGCCGCCGGCGCCGGCTCCTCAGCAGGCTCAGCGGGCGGCGCTTCTTCCATGGAAGCAGGTCGTTTTTCTTCATTGCATGGCAATGAAGAAAAACGCACGCTTGGTTGCGGACACGAGCCCAAGAAAGAATTTAAACAAAACAACTCTCTGAGAGCAGACAGGCTCGACACAGGTGCGAACTGGCGCGTGCTAGTACTATCACAGGCACACGCAAGAAAGAAAGAAAAGACTGCCGCATAGGGCATGGCGCCGCTCGCGAAACGAACTCGTCGCGGATCACAGGCGTCCGAGTTTATAAAATGAACTCGGGGGCACGGGACGCGGCACAAACGGGGCACAAACGCCAGGCTACAAAGACGGGCAGGCACGTAGTGACGCAGGGGAGTCTAGGCGACGGCGGCGTCCTCCGACGCCGCGGTGAGCCTGAGCTCGGTCGCAATCTCTTCCGCCGCCGCGAGCTGCAGCGCGACTGACATGCGCTGGGCCTCCACCGACAGCCACGACCGCGTCGACCAGCTCGCCTCGTCCTCGTGCTGCCGCTTCGAGAGCTTGTTGCGCACCTTGTCCTTCATCTGGTAGAACAGCCGCTTGACCGCGTTGCACCACCCGCCGAAGGTTTCGAACAGGTACATCTGCACGTCGGTGTCCGAGCGCGAGAGGGCGTGCGCGTAGTCCGCCTTCTTGTACGCCACGTAGCCGCCGCCGTCGCTCGGCCTGAAGTCGCCGTCCCCGACAGCGCCGCGCTGCTCGAGGCCGAAGACGTCCGCGCTCGTCCGCTCGTGCCGGGCTCGGTGTTGCCGAGGCCGACGAAAGCGCCTCGCTGGCCGACGTCCTCCGGGTTGGAGGAGAGCGTGTCCTTGAACTTGACGTCGCCGACGAGGCGCGAGCGCGTCCGAGCGCCTCGTGTTGATCCCAGCCGTCCACAAAAACAGCACGACTGGCTACGAGCTCGTACAAGGGCGTGACCTACCACCGCAGCAAAAAAGAAGTTCGAGGCAAAGGTGCGAGATGGCGGCAAGAGTGTCTACCTCGGCCTTTTTGACACCGCCGAAGAGGCGGCCACCGCCTGCGCTCGCTCGGAGTACGGCCGCGCCGACGCCGCAAAGCTGCTGCAGCCTCGCACTGCTCCCACTGCCGCTGGCGCTGAGGCGATACGGCAGGCGGAGAGGGAGGGCCTGACTCTGGCTACGAGCAGCAACAGCAACAGCGGCTACAAAGGCGTGACCTTCAAGCCGAAGAAGCAAGGCAGCAAGAAGTACGAGCTGGCGGTGAGGGTTGGCAGCAAGGGTCTTCCTCGGTTACTTCGCCACCGCCGAGCAGGCGGCGCTCTTCTACGCCCGCAGGGAGGCGGGCAGGGACACCAGCGACCGCGCCGCCGCCACCGCCGCCGCCACCCGTGCCTTCCACTGCCGCTGGCACTGAGGCAGTCCGGCAGGCGGGGAGGGAGGGCCTCGCCCTGGCCAGCAGCAGCAGCAGCAAGAGTGGCTACAAAGGCGTGGCCTTCTACCCGAAGGCGCGAGGCCGCAAGAAGTACAAGCTGCAGGTGAGGGTTGGCGGCAAGAGGCTCTCCCTCGGCTACTCGCCACCGCCGAGGAGGCGGCACTGGCGCGTGCGCAGCACCGTTGGGAGACGACCGTCCGCCTGCTCGAGCCGCAGCAAGCACCGTGTGCGAGGAGATGGAGGTGGAGGCCGGCGCCGCAGCAAGGGTGGCGCCAGCTCCAGCAGCCGAGGAGCGCCGAGAGTGCGCCATTTGCTTGGACGGCCTCAGCTCACACCCCGAGGCGCGCCTGCAGCCACGCGACCCGAACGGCTGGGGCGCCACACACTGCTGCAAGAGCCTCTTCCACTACCGCTGCCTGCACACTTGGCTCAGCGACGACAGCGAGGTCGAGACGAGCCGCGGGATGGAGCCGATCAACACGGCCTGCCCGGGCTGCCGAGGCTTCGTGTCGAAGTCGGCGTCGCGGATGCTACAATAGAGCGGCCGCATGTGTTTTTCGACCCGCAGACACACAGAGGCGCCGAGTCTCTTTTTTAGTCGGTTCAAGCTAGTTTTGTTCGCAAGGAAGAAGGTCTGGGTCCGAAATTCTTTTGTTCCCGTGGTGTATCTGTATTATTGCCAGTGCGCGCCAGTCCCGTGCCCAGTGTTGTGCGAGGGAGTTTAGTTGTAAAATTCTTCGCGGGGGCGCCTGAAATTCTTTTGTTCGTTGAGCTTGCCAGCGGCGAGGGCGGTCGAGTGCACGGAGCTAAGTGCCTTGCCGTCCTCGCGGGAGTCGCTTAGGCGGCTCCAGTGGTGTACCTGTGTTAGTGCCAGTGCGCGCCAGTCCCGTGCCCAGTGTTGTGCGAGTACAGATAATTTTTTTTGTTGTGAGAGTTGCCTTTTTGAATTCTTTTGTTCGTCGGTTGGTCTCGCGGGGGGGGCGTTTCGCGCCGTTGGTCGGTGGCCTGTGCTGGTGGCGGCTGGCTCGCTGTGCTTCGCTGCGTACCCACCACCTTCATGCCCTCCGACGAGCCCGCCGCGGCCGTGCGAGGCATCGTCTTTCGTCCGCAGCGCTACACGTTGGAGGCGCTGCACCAGGACGAGCCGCGGCCACCGCAGCGGCACGAGGACGGCCGGCTGACCTACGCCTTTCGCGGCGGCGAGTCGCTGGTGCTTCGCCGACTGCTGGAGGACCACGGCTACCTCCCGTCGCCGACGGCCGACGCGGACCTCGTCTGGTCGAGCGGCCACGTCGGTCCCGAGACGCTGCTCTCGCTGCCCCGGCACGCAAAGGTGAACCACTTCCCTCGGTCGGGAGTGATCACGCGGAAGGACCTGCTCGTCCGGACGATCGCGATGCTGCGCGCGCGGTGCGGACGCGCCGCGTACGAGTACCTGCCCCTCTCTTTTGTGCTCCCCGCCGACGCTGCCGCTTGCACAGCCGCGATGGGCCGCGACGGCGGCGCGACTTGGATTGCAAAGCCGATCGCGTCGAGCCAGGGCCGCGGCATCTCGCTGCTGGGCAGCTCGGCCAAGCTGCCGGTGGGGGAGGACTGCGTGGTCTCTCGCTACGTGGCGCGGCCCCTCCTGATCGACGGGTGCGAGATTGCCCGAGATTGGCCGAGATGTGGCCCGAGATGTGGCCCGAGATGGCCGAGCTGCCGCGAGATGACGCGAGATGGCGCGAGAGATTGCCCGAGATGTGGCCGAGATGGCCCGATACTGCCCTCCTGATCGACGGGTGCGAGAGAGCCCGAGATAGCCCGAGATAGCCCGAGATGGCGCGAGATGGCCCGAGATGGCGCAGAGATGGCCCTAGAATGCCGTCCCGATCGACGGTAAGCAGCCATAAGACCCTTCTCGGAACCGTCCCCGCAGGTACAAGTTCGACCTCCGCCTGTACGTCGCCGTCTCGTCCTTCGAGCCGCTGCGCGCGTGCGCCTCATCGAGGAGGGGAGCGGCGAAAGAAGAGAGGAGCGGCGGAGGCACGAGGCCGGCAGCTGAGAGTAGGTATGTCTTCGAGGAGGGCCTCTGCCGCTTGATTAACGAGTAATTCGCTCTGAATTCACGATTAATTCAGGTATGTCTTCGAGGAGGGCCTCTGCCGCTTCTCGACGGCGCGCTACTCCGACCCAGCGGACGGGGGCTCGGCGGCGGACGCGGACGTGTTTGCCCACCTCACAAACTACTCCATCAACAAGCGGTCCTCCCACTTCGTGCCGAACGCCGACGCGGCCGACGACGGCTTCGGCTCAAAGTGGTCTTAATTAGCTCTTAATTAGCTCTTGATTAGCTCTTGATTAGCTCTTGATTAGCTCTTAATTCGCTCTTAAGTAATGGTTAATCGACGGCGGCTTCGGCTCACAGTGGTCGCTCTCGGCGCTCGATTGCTCCTCCAGTAGCTCGAATGAGTGATGAATTTGTCATCAAGGTGGTACCTCTCAAGCACTATCTCGCGTGATCTCGAGTCATCTCGCGCCATCTCCAAAGGTGGTCCCTCTCGGCGCTCAAGCGCTGCCTCGCGCGCAACGGCGTCGACGTGGCCGCGCTGTGGCGTCGGGTGGACGACTTGCTGCTGCGCACGCTGATCGCGGCCGAGCCGTCGGTGGCGGCGGCGGGGCGGCAGGTCGGCACCGCTGGCGGGCGCGCGTCGTGCTTTGAGCTCCTCGGCTTCGACGTCCTCATTGACGAGTGTCTCAAGCCCTGGCTGCTCGAGGTGAGCCTGGCTGGTGAATGAAATGCTGTCTGCTATAGCCGCAGCCACTCCCAGCTGCTCGGTGTGAACAGAGTTCGTACACCGAGCAGCAGGGAGCTCCGCAACTCGAGAGTTCACGCTATACCAGACAGAATGAAATGGCTGGAGTGAAGCGAGTGAAGTCACCACGCCCTCGGCTGCTCGAGGTGAACTTGTCGCCGTCGCTCGGCGCCGACACGCCGCTAGACCTCAAGGTGAAGAGCTGCCTGCTTGCCGACCTGCTCACGCTCGTCGCCCTCGCGCCGCACGACCGGGCCGCGGCGCGAGCGAAGGAGCGCACCTTGCGCGCCGCGGCGATCGAGCGCCTCTCGAGGGGCGAGCTCCCCATATCTCCCCATATCTCCCCATATCTCCCCATATCTCCCCATATCTCCGAGCGCCTCTCGCGGGGCGAGCCAACTCATCGCCGGCCCACGACACACGTCCACGACACGCCCACGACACGCCCACGACACGTCCACGACACGCCCACGACACGCCCACGACACGCCCACGACACGCCCACGACACGCCCACGACACGCCCACGACACGCCCACGACACGCCCACGACACGCCCACGACACGTCCACGACACGCCCACGACACGCCCACGACACGTCCACGACACGCCCACGACACGCCCACGACACGCCCACGACACGCCCACGACACGTCCACGACACGCCCACGACATGTCCACGACATGTCCACGACATGTCCACGACATGTCCACGACACGTCCACGACACGTCCACGACACGCCCACGACACGCCCACGACACGTCCACGACACGCCCACGACACGCCCACGACACGCCCACGACACGCCCACGACATGCCCACGACATGCCCACGACACGCCCACGACATGTCCACGACATGTCCACGACATGTCCACGACATGTCCACGACATGTCCACGACATGTCCATGTCTGCCAGGCGAGCCAACTCATCGCCGGCACAAGGGCGCCTCCGACGCGGGCAGAGGCCGCACTCCGCTGCGCCGCGCCCTTCGCACGCTCGACGCCGAGGCAAGGCGCGCCGGCGGCTTCCGGCGCCTCTTCCCGCTCGCCGGCGGCGGCGAGTACTTGCTGCTCTTCGCGCAGCACCGGCCTCTCAACGCCGCGCTCGTGCGAGAGCTCGACGCGAGGTGTGCGCGGGCGGCGCAGGCGGAGGACGAGGCGGAGGAGGAAGCCGCCGACGCCGAGGACGCCGCCGGTGGGGCGCAGGGGCGGGGCGGCACGGCGGGGGCGGGGCCGAGAGGGGCGGGGCCGGGCGGGGTGGAGGTGGCGAAGGTAGAGGCGGCCTTGGGCGGCACGGAGAAGGCTGGAGCTCAGCTGGGGGCGGGTGGCGCTGGGGCGGTGCACGGCGCCGCAGGCGGAGAGGCCGGAGGCGGAGAGGCCGCAGGCGGAGAGGCCGCAGGCGGAGAGGCCGGAGGCAGCAGGGCCGAGCAGCAGCCGGCCCCTCAGCCGGCGGGTACTTCGATCCCACCCTCCCCTACCCCACAGTACCCGAACCCACCCAGCCCCCTCACCCGGCGCGGCCTCGCAGCGCCGCCTGCGCGGCCCTCGGGCGACTGTCCAGCCCGGCCCAGCCAGCCCCGAGCCAGCCGCTGCGGAGCTCGCGAGCTGTCGCCGGGTCCCGGCCTCAGTCCGCCTTCCCCGCCTTGAGCGCCGCGGGCTCTGCGAGGAGAGCCGCCGCCACCTTGCGCCCCGCGACCGCTGCGAGAGCATCGTCGTGGGGCAGAGAACGACGGGCGAGGCGCGAGAGGCCGCCGTCGTGAGCCTGTCAGCCGAGTGATCTCTCGTTAGAGCCGTAGTGTCGCTCAGCATGCTGTCCCTCTGCGTGTTCTGTGCTGGTGGGTAAAGGAATTGGAATCAATACGTTATGGGCCCGTTGCGGCTCCGGGTCCGGCACGCGTTTGATTCACAATTGAGAGACCAATGAGAAGACTCTATGTACTGTGAGAGGACGTTCGTATATATGTGAAGTTGTGACTCACATACGGGTCCGGTTTATCGGGGGGAAATTGAAGAAAAACTCGAAAAGAGCACACACAAGCCGAGCCGCTAGCATTCAGCGCAAGCAAGATGCGTGGCGCAGCTGCGCCGCATGAATGCAGCCGGCCATTGAGAGGAAGGGGGCGAAACTTCATGCTTGCTGCCCGAGATTGCTTCGGCTGTGATGAAGGACACGAGGAAGGGGACAACGCTGTGCAGCACACGAAAGGAAGGCATGCGCTCGTCGCGCGTCCGGAATCGGAAAATCGAGGCACCGCAGATGGCCGTGCAGACAAAGTATGCTACTGCGAGCCGCTTGCGTGAGGAAGGGAGGGCAGCGGGTGGCAGCGCTCCGAAGAAGGATCCGCCAATTCCACATAGCAAAATTATGTAACGCCCAGCCTCCGCCAACTTGTCGAGCTCACTAGTCAGCACCGCCGGCGAACGGACCACGGCGTTTACCAGACGCAGAGTCGGGCCGCAGACGAGCAGCAGCGTCATCGCGCTCGCGAAAAGGCGAGGCGAGACCCGTGCAAGGGCCCGATTGGCGGCGATCATCACTGCGAAGCCAGTGGCAGTGAAGAAAAAATCCGGACTCCACTTGGGGAGCTCGGCCATAATCGCGGCGCACAGCATCAGGAGGGCGAGCGAGACCTGCATCGGTGCGGACGCACCCAGACGCGCCGGCAGCGGCCACGAGCGCGGGGCAAAGACCAGCGGCACCGGCGTGGCCGGCGGTGAGGGCGGCAAAGAGGAGCAGTCGGGCCTCGCCACCGCGGCAGTGGCAGCCTCTGCGGTGGCGGCCCGCCGCCGCTTACCGCTCTCCTCTGCCTCGCCGCGACCCTCCTCGCACAGCTCACTGTCGAGGCAGTCGAGGTCGTGGCAGTCGAGGTCGTGGGTCGTTGACCGCGGGGAGGCAAAGGAAGACGGCTCTGACGAAGGCGGCGTGTCAGGAGGCGGAGAGCTCGCTGACCTCGCGCCGATAACGATAACGGCCGCGGACGACGCCGTCGGCCGCCTCTTCTTGCCGCTGGCCTTCCGAGGCTTTCTGCGCTGCTTGTTTTCTGCTGGCACCAGCGTCCCGTGGCTTATGTACATGTGCAAGCACTCTTTGCCCTGCGCGCCGGGCAAGGTAATCCACTGCTCTGGCAGTTCGTCCCAGGTCTGCGGCCCACACTGCTGCGACAGCTCTTCCGAGCTTGCAAACGCCGCTGCAGACATCTCCGCTTCGACCGCGGCAAACGGCCAGCCAAGCACGCTGCCTTCGAGCCCAAGGACGGCTGAGCCTGGAGTTTCGTTTGGAGGCGGCGCTTTGAAGATGGCAAACCTACAGCAACACGCCAACGTCAGGGTGTGAAGAGGCTATCTCGCAGTGTATTCGGAGCACTGCGCGGACACTCCGGCTACGAATACAATGAAAACAGCCGAATACGTGTCTCCTTGAGCGATATTTGGAATACAGAGATCTGTACTCAGCCTTTAGGATGGCAAACCGGGGCCCAGGGCAGCGCATCGTCTGGTTGCAAACCCGATAGGGTGGGAGCTGAAGCTCGCGAGGAGCGCTCCACGGCCCGTTGGACGCCTTGTTATCAAGGATGGCGGTCGGCGGCAGCACGCGGACGCGCTCCACCGGCACCAGCAACCCGTGGCGCTGGCAGCTCGCACAGAACTTGGTAAAGACGCCACTGCTGCTGAGGGGCTGCTCAGATCCTAGGACGGTCGGCGGGGGGAACGTGCGTGTCATGAGGCTGCGTCATTGGCTCTGAGGTATCACACGCCACTCCGAGCCCGTGTGGTGCTAGTAGGTGCATACTAGCCTCGCCTCGATGGCATTCCCTCCCAGTGAGCTCCGCCCCCCAGCACTCGTAGCATTCATCCATGCTCAGCGCCGCACGTGCAGGCGGCCCGGCGAAGTTTGCTGGTATCGGCGCTGAACTCTGTAAAATCGGCGACGGGAGATAGATAGAGGTACATAGACGAACTTTTTCTCCCAGTAAGCTAAAAGTACACTACGTTTGAGCATAATGGGAGGGAGAGAGTGTAGCTTACCCAGGAAGTTTCGCTGTCTTCGCGGACCACCTAAATAAAACCAGAGCAGGGGAGGGGGGGGGGGAGAAGAGAGTTCTTTCGAAGAGTTCTTGTGTGTGAGAGACTTCTTGTGTGTGTGTGTGTGTGTGTGTGTGTGTGTGTGTGTGTGTGTGTGTGTGTGTGTGTGTGTGTGTGTGTGTGTGTGTGTGTGTGTGTGTGTGTGTGTGTGTGTGTGTGTGTGTGTGTGTGTGTGTGTGTTTTGCCTGGCGAGAGATGGGCGAAGCCCGAAGCACGGGCACGCACCAAACAGAGGCGGCAAGCGCGCCCTACCCGCTCGCAGGGCGTGCTCACTCAGAGCGCACATATAGGCACTATGGATAGACTATGCAACGTAACTTGGGGTTCGGGAGCACACTAGGGTAAGGGAGAGAGTGCGCAAAGTAAGTGACCTCAGGAGGCGCACAGAGCGTGGCACCACAGCAAGCCTCCCTCTTCTCACGCGGGTTGATAGCCCCGTCCGTTGCGTCGCCGGTTACTGCAATCACCGAGTGGCAATCACCGAGTGGCGAGGTGGCCACCGGTGCGGCCAGCTTCGAGGAGCAGGTTCGCTTTCCCAACGCTTGGGAAGACGTAGATGACGTAAAGCACCGAGGCGACAGATCCAAAGATGATGGCAACGCACACCACCACCGCAATCGAAAGCTCGCCCTCCGCGATGAGGGCGACGGTTGCCAGTGCGTCGAGGCCCGCCGCGATGAGGAGAAGGAGGAGGCTCGCCCAGATGGCGTTGTGGCTCGAGTGGCGGGGGTTGCGGAGCCTACAAACAAAGGTGAGTGTGGTGAGCGGGAGGCGCTCTCTTGTGCGAAGGCAGCCCGGCCGGCAGCGGCCTGAAAAAGAAGCTGTCCATCTCAGCTGCGAGGGCAATGCGCAGCCGCATTCGGGTCGCCTCGGGCAGATCCAGTTCCTCGCATA